ACAAAGGTAAACACAAATGTGACTCCCATCACCAAAGATGAGTTTTCCTGTTTTGAACTTTATAAAAATGAATTCACACAGTATGTATTCTTTTGTACCTGGTTTTATTCACTTGATTCTCTTTCTGTGAAATTCACTCATAGTGTTTTGCATAGCAGACATTTGTTCACATTCATTGCTATTCCTCATGTGAATATTTAATTCCGCTATTTAGTTATCCACTCAGTTGTTGATGGGAATTTGGGTTGTTTCCAGTTTGGGGTAGTTCTGCCATGAGCATTCTTGTACATACCTTTTGGTGAGATACATATATCCTTCTGTTGGGTGTATATTTAGAAATTGTAGAATTTCTATATTTGTAGAATTTGTATATTTAGAATATGTAGAATTTCTGGGTGATAGCATATATATATTATTGGCTTTAATAGATACTGTCAAAATTCTCCAAAATGGTTGTACCAATTTACATCCTTACCAGCAGTAAATGAGAGTTCCAGTTATTTCACATCTTCACCAACATTTTGTATTATCAGGTTTATTGTTTTTTTTCAAGTTAGACAAGAATGTCAATCAAAGTATATAATGATATCTCATTGTGACTTATTATTTGAATTTTCCCATGACTAATAAAGTTGAGCATGCTTTGTTTATCTTTCATTTCTATATCCTGTTACAAAATTTTAAAAAAATGGGTTCCTTTTCTTATTCATTACTATTGATGAAACTGTTTTGGCATTTTTAAAAGTTACCAAAGCCTGACTGACACTTAACATTCATCTCTCATATCTGGGGCCACCCACTCCGTGTCTTTTTTAAAGGAGCAGAGATTCCTACTATGATTGTCTGTACTCCTGTTTTTGAAAATTGCAAAGGGCTGTTAAATAATTTAATCATTGGGAGGATTCATGCAGAAGCTGGAATTTTTTTTCAGAGTTCGATGTTCTAGAAGTTTACACCAGGAAGGGAGAGGGTTCACATGAAAGTCTTTCTGATTTATTCCGTTTTTGCTCCCACGCATTTCTTATGGGTCTTTCCTCCTCTTATCACACTATCATAATTATTTATTTATTTACTCATTGATCTCTTCTAAACCTACATTTAGCAGGGCTTTTTCCATTCATTTTGTTGGTGCAGAGGAGTAATATAAACAGGCTTTGGCCCTAGGTAGATTTCAGGGAAACCAATCACAAATAGGACAGGTCTTACTGCCAAAATCTCTCTTCGTTCTCTATAGCTTTTCTTCCTCACATTCATCTTAGTTCTTAAGTACGTATTTGTGTGATTAATTGAGTTTTTGCATTCTCCTCTAGCCTATAAGCTCCTTGAAGCTGAGATCTCATCCTTTTTAGCCATTATCCTATCTCATGTGTTTACCAGTGCCTGGTACACAGGAGATAATTAATATTGCCAACTGAAATGGTTCGGATCTGAATCCCAGAGCTGCTCCATTGTATGACATGCCTCTGTCTTTCCTTAAATCCCCATGAAAAGGGATGTGTCTTCTTGAGACTAGTTTAGTCTGTCAAGTACTATTGGAAAAGTGTAAGAAAAAGTCTAGGATACTAGAAGACTTGGGGTTTGGTCTCACCGGTTCCTCCATTAACTTGTTGTGTGTCTCTCTGCCCCTGCCAGGAAGTCATTTTGCCTATCTGGGACTTTGGACTCTGGCCTCAAGGGACTCTCTAGCTTTATCCTGGAGCCCAAAGTTGTATTTCCACTTTCAGCAAAATGCTAAGAAAGTGCTGAACTAGTACAGGGGCCCGAATGGGGCTTGTCTAGCAGCAAAAAGCGGGCTGACCATGTTGGCAGGAAAGGAAGCCATGAGCTGCATGAGTGTATTCCCAGGTCCTGAAACCAAAAGGAGTTTGCTGGCTTGACTTTGAAATTGCTTGGGACCGATGACTCCTTTGTCTTCCATTTTCCCTTTTGAACAAGAATGTCTGTGAGTATTATTCTATAACTATCCTATCACTGAATTTTAGGAGCAGATAACTTATTTCTTGAGTTTCATAAGCTTACATATGGAGAGCAAATGTGGATTAAACCCAGAACCTCATCCTTACCTGATTTAGATAATGTAGTTTGGATAATGAGATTTGAGACTTTTGAGTTGATGTTGTAACATGTTGAGATTTGGGGGGATGTTGGGATCTGGTGAATGAATGTATTTTTCATGTGGGATGGATGTGAACCTTTGGGGACCAGAGGGTGAACTGGCAAAATAATGGCTTCCTCAAAGATGTCCATGTCCGAATATCTGGTATCTGCTAATACGTTATGTGACATGGCAAAGGAGAATTAAGGTGGCAGATGTAACTTGGGCTGCTAATCAGCTGACCTTTACATAGGTAGATCATCTTGGATTATATAAGTGGGCCCAGAAGAGAACCAAGAGATGGCAGAGTGAGAAGGACGAGTCTAGTGTTGCTTGGCTTTAAAGATAAAAGAAATGGGCCAGAAACCGAGGAAGGCAGGTGACCTCTAGAAGCTGGACAAGGCCAGGAGACAGCTTCTCCCCTAGAGCCTCTGGAACTGTAAGATAATAAGTTTGTATTGTTTTAACCCACCAAGTTCGTGGCAATTTGTTTGAGCAGCAAAAGGAAATGAATACAAGTCCTGGCCTGCAGTTTACTCTTCTAGGATCTTAGACAAGCTGTTTGATCTTTACATTCCTTAGTAATCCTTATTTCTCAAAATAATAACTGCTATAAGGATCAAAAGTGACAAGTAGGCAGAAGTGCCAGGCATACTGGTAGCTCAATAAATGTGCATTTCCAGCTTCCCTTTTTCTCAGTTGAGGAAACACAGGGAAGGAAATCAAGGCCAAAAGTCACTCTCAGCTGCACCCTCCCTTCCTTTGATGCTGGCTGCATGAAGGACGCCTTCAGTGAGCTCCTCGAGCACACCTTATCTAGAGTGCTGCTTGAGATCTGCCTTTGGGGGGCCCCGTAGCTCTTCCCTCCCTGGTAAAACCCCCTTTAGAATACAAAAGCTTTTTAGAAGAGCCTGAGATGGGAGCAGAACCAGAGCCTCACTTGACAAACAGGCTTTCAGAGATGAAAGAGCAGCTTAGACATCTGTATTCATAGGATGGCCACCATGTTTCAGGAAGTCGTCCCCTGAGGTAAGGCAAGCCCATTCAGAGAAGGACCTGCTAGTCCACCTCCTCTTATCCACATACCCAAGACAGACACCCCTCAAACATTTCAGGCTTCTGCCTCCTTAATTAGTTGTGTTATGAGCTTTTATTTAAAAAGCACATCTAATACAAGTATAGTTTCGCAGATACAAGTTTTCACTTTGTATTCTACAAAAGTCTTTGAATATTATTCTCTTTACAAAATGGAACCTTACAAAAATACTGACAATTTAATGTTTTTATACAGTTTTCCCTAGTTGTTGTTATTTCTTTTATTGTAAAACAATGTCTACCACAGAACTACGATATTTTAGTTGATATTAAAAAAAATTAACTCAATGCTTTTTTAAGCAGCTAATGTAAATAACACAGGTCGAGACACAGTTTATAATCATAGTGGATATAGCTAAAATTGTTTCAGAAATAATATTTTACATAGTTAACTTTTAATGTTTTATACATTATTTATATAATATTTATATATAAAAATCATAGCTTGCTATAAGTTGAAATGAAAGGACGGCTTCTGTGGTAAGGATGTGCTTGTGGTTGATCCATGTGGTTACGTTTAGCCCTTTGAAAGGTTTGCATGTGAGATCTGAAAGCATTTGTTCCTTCCTCCTTTCCTCAAAGGTTCAGTAGAAGGGGTCCCTGTCTACTGCCTAGAGTGGGACCCTTGTGTGGGAGGACACATATGGATAGAGGATGAGGAAAACTCTCTACGGAGATTTAACCCATGTGTTCTGCCCAGCAGAACCTACCAAGAACTGTCCTAGAGATCAACCCCAAGACAATAGTGCTTTACACAGCTTAGCAAAAGTGACTCCCACAGAGACCCTCATTGGCTCCATGATCTAGAAGGGTAGCCTCTCAGGCATGAGACCGTCTACTACTCTGGCTCATTCTGACTTCGAGTAACCAAAAGTTTGGTTCGTTTTTCATTTTTGCCCCTTCACTCCCCCAATTCTTCTAAGGAAGGCTGCTTTCCATCAGCCAGTGGCAGACCACGCTGTGGCTCGTCTCTGGACCCTCACAGGAAATCCTGGTGGGTACAGAGCAAGGATTTCACGGGAGAAAGCAGTAACTGCAGCTAACCGTTACTAAGTGTGCAAGTGCCCAGGTGATTGATGTACACAACATCGGCATTCTGCAACTGACGTTTTGGCATCACAGGATGATGCATCAAAAGAAGACAAATGAGGGCCTGTACCCTCTATCTCTTCTGAAATTGTGCTATTTGTGAAATTCACTCATCCACAAAGAGTCTCCTAATTGCTAACATGGGGGGACGGTGGTTGGCCTATGGGCTGGGAAGTGAGTGATAAGGCCTTAGGTCTAGGAATTTGGATTCAGGATCTGATCGCTTGACTGAGCAAACCTGCTCTTTCCTTACGTTAAAACAAAACAAAACAACAACAACAACAAAAAACAAACACCAAAAACTTCCTGAACCAAAGTCACAGTAGGAGATAGAGTGGTGTGGACAGAGAGACACAAGAGGGGAGCCCCCCGATGGCTATTTTCTTGATTCAGTGCTATTTCGGGCATCGTGTGCTACAATGTGAATTTGAGTTTTTCTTACAGGTCTGGGGTGCCTCAGTCACAAGGTGACTGGCCGACTCTACTCAAAACATTTTGGTGTCTGTTCCAGAACCAGCCCGTGTTCACTAGAACATGAACACTTAAACCAATTGCACATCCAGGATTCCAGCAGTTGGTATTAGTTTGCTGTTGTTTCCATATAGGTGAACACTACCTATTCTGGAAGGCCACAAAGTAAGACTTTTTTTTTCCTTTTCAAAAATCAGTCAGGCA